GAAATGGAATAGACATGTAATAATCCTACCTAATCAGTTAGGAAAATATTCTAACATCAACTTCTCACTTAGAATTCCTTACCCATAAGTTGATAAGTTGTGATCAGTCATAATCTGGAGTGATCAGTTTAATAAGTATCTATTAATATTGGCACTATATATGTTATCCTGTGAGTTGATTCATGCAATAGGTTTAGTGGAGGACGGGTGGTTGTATTAGAAATCCGTGTGTGTGTGTGTGTGTGTGTGTTTGTGTGTGTGTGTCGGCCCTCTTTTCCCTTTTAGCCTGGTGTGAGACTACTTCTGGAAGAATGAAGGACTTATCTTGTGCCATCTCTTCCTAATGTCCAGCCCCTTCAACTCTTTGTTTTCACTGCAGTGAAATGCATTGCATATAAATGAAAAGCTGGTGTTAAGTGTAGCATTAACTATAGTCAAAAGACTGTGGAAATAATGTCTGTTGATAGTGATGATCATGACTTTTTCAATTGCTACATACAATAAAAAAGCCCTGGTGTTTTATTTCAGCAGAAGGAAGCCACAGAGAATGTTTAGTATCAGTTATTTTTAAAATGTTTAGTTATTTCTTGACTAAATTTATAAACATGTAGGGAAGAAAATATTCTGAAATTATGCTAAAAGATTTACAGAATTCCTCTCTGTGACCAGAGAGCATTCTTTAGAAAGAATATTGCCTATATTCAGCAGAATGGAAAGATCTCAACAGCAGTTGAAAGAGGTATTAATTTTCATCCTCTAAACCTATTGGGGCATTAACACCAGACGTTTGGGGCTCTTTAAGACTAAGCAGAAAGATCTGGATTTGTCTCATAAGAGAAGAAAAGACTCTTGTGATCTTGCTGTAACTTCACTTGACTTAGCAATCCTTAAAACAGAGTACACTTGTGAGGTGGGGTGGGGTGGGGTGGACAGAGATTCAGGAGGTCAGTGTGCTGCTTTTCCTATGTGAGCCAGTGTAAGAGGTACTGCTCCCAGTTCTTGAAGCACTTCCTCAAAGTGGCAGGATAGCAATAAGCCCAACTTCTAATAATCAGCCGCGGGCTATCTCTGCAGAAGGGGACTGCCAGTACCCAGACAGGCAGTGCCTCTCACTCTCCCACTAGGTCTGTTTTCAAATAATATTTGTGTGATAGTATCGAATTCAGAGTATTTGGAAAAAATTGTAAGTCATCAGAATAAGGGCTAATTCTGAATTTTTCTTTGCCTAGCATACATACATCTAGAGTCGTAAAAACATTTGGGTGGCATTCCATCATTTGCTTTATGTGTCTTCTATGTGTGTGAACAGTCAGAAAACAAAGCCACTATTGAGTTATATAAATGCAAAAGAGGGATGGGAATGAATGCCAACCTTCTGGAAATGCTGTTTTTTCACTTTGGGATAACTCCAATAACCAAATAGAATTTTCTGATGCATTTGCCAAATAAGAAAGCTGAGGTTGAGAACTAGCCTGAGATCTCTTAGCTTAATATATACGTTTTGGAGAGCAGGGTAAGAAAAACAAACTCTAAATACAAATGTAAAGGTTACGTCTTGACTTTTCCTATGGAATTATGTTATAACTTCCTCATAGAAGCATAAACATTTTAACATTCACTGTAAATATACTTCATTGGCATTGCTTGTTTACCCCAAGACAAAAAAAAAAATCATCAGACTCCTACATGTTGCATTAACCTTTACTGGGTTAATGTTCTACTGCTGTTTCCTTTTTTCTATTTTTCTGTAACACCTCCTCTCCTTTGCAGTGAGAAAGTCAAAGCAGCTATGAAATGAAGCTATATTTGAAGTTTCTCTCTATTAGGTGTGTGTGTAAGAGCCAAACTCTTCAGGCTGAAAGGAATGTGGTATTTTGTTACATTTGGATTCATGTCATTCCTTAATCCTTACTTGGTTTTCTTTTTCATAACCAACTCCTCTCATTCCCACCCCTTTCAGACCATCTTACAGTTAATTACTTTAGAATAATAGTGAGAAATTTGTGCAGTGTCTCAGTGGAAAAGAATGAAGAGAAACCCATGTTATGGTACCCAGATGAATGTCTTTGGATCTTCTCCTATCAAAACACATTACCTGAAGTAGAGATGAACTGGTATCCCACTAGTCTGTGGCCTTACCATACCTGCCCCACGCATACTCTACTTCGAGATCTGGCAACCTAATGAGAGTGCCAGTGGGTGGTTGGCCCATATTTCTCACACTCTGTACAGCAACAATGAGGTCAACAATGGTAGTAGGAGGATTTTACAAACCCTGCCTCTTTTTCTTCTCACCACATTTCCCAAACACTGACATCTCAAGTCTCCCTATTTGCCCCATTTTACCCTAGTTAGAACAGACATTGTCCTAAGTTCTTTCACCATTATAGGTAAAATTGATGATATTCACATGGGTGTTTGGGCTTAGACATAATTTTATCACCGGTAACTCTATTCCTTTTTCTTGCATTTTAGAAGGCATATTAACTTTCAGTCTGTCATAATTGCTTGTATTAAATTATTGACAAATGTTGGTACTTCATTATTAGTGACCAACTATTGTTCAAGGGATCTAGCCCCACTATAGTTCAGAACCCCTGACTTGGGGCATCTGACATAACTATGGTACATGTCCTGAATCCCCCTTCTCTTCTTCATTTTTTACACCGCTGATAAGGATTCTCCTTCATTCAGAAAATGTGTTAAGCACTCAGAGATGTGAAGTTAAATAAGGCTCAGTCCTGGCCCCTTAAGGACAAAATCTTAATTCACATTAAGGGAGACAAATACACACAAAATAACTGTTGAATACGACATGGTGTAATAGTTCACGGAACAGACTGTCATGGGATTTGAGATTCTAATTTATGAATTCAGAGCTATGATGTTGGGATCAGGCCTTGAAGAGAAAGGATTTTATGTGAGTAGCTAGCAAAGGAAGAAGGCATTCCAGCAAAGAGAACAAGATGAATAATAGTGTGAATGGGTCGAGTCAGCACTGGAACACCTCAACTGTCTCAGAATGTAGGGTGCATGGAGCCATTAAAGGGAATGGAAATGAAGATGGGGTTTTGTCACATAGTTCAAGGCCTTATAGAGGGTACCAGGGAGTTGGTCCTCTATCCTGTAGGCAAAGGGAAGCTTTGGATAGGCTTTTAGCAGTTGGATGACTTGGACTAAGAGGGTGGGTTGGGGCTTTGGGAGGAATGGGGTGGAGAGATCCTGGAAGTCGAGAGACCCGTTGGGACACTTGTACTGACCTAGGCTGAACGTGAGAGAACTCAGAAGCCCCTCAACAGGTTGGAAACTAGGTATCTTCTTTGTCTTTCTGTTTTCAGGACCAGCACCAGAGTGCCGACACACAGTTTGTGCTCAGTAAATAGTTGTTGAACTTAATTAACACAATTGACTGGAAGGTAAAGAAAGAGGAAGAAAAAAATGGCTTCATGATGTTTAGCTTGACTAGTCACATGACTTGCAGTTTCAAGTTGTCCTGTGAATAAAGCCATTTTGTGGTACCAAAAAAAAAAAAAACATGTTTAGCTTGAGATAACAAATATAGAAAGGACAGTTTGGGCCATTAGGGAATGGGATAAAACGTGTTACTCTTGACAAGGTCTGATTTGGATTGCTGGTGAAAGGTATCCATGAAGATGTTTAGGAGACAGCCGGAAATAAATCTGGGCTCTCAAATCAGATCTGCCCCTTGGGCATGGATGAATTTGGGAGTTGTACTTTTTAGTATCTATCCTTATTCTTTTTCTGTTTGAAAAGCTTCTCAGCTTTCTATACCTGAACTACTATCTGGCCCTCTCAGAAGATCAGTTGGTTCACTGTGGGACAGGGCCTCTGCCAGTGAGGCAGCTTCCATCTCAAGGCTTCAGAACTTTGATTTGCCTTAGGATAGCTTTACGTGTAAAGTTGTTTGAGCCTGCAGACCCATTGTAAACCGTCTGAGTTTAAAAAAAAACAAAAAAACCCAGGCCTTCTCTAGGGGACAGTAGTAATTTAGCATGAAGTGCACTGGACTTAGAGTCTAGATACCTGGCTTATTGTGAACTTGAATGATGACTTAGATTTCATTTCCTAAGTTATAAAATGGAGATGACCTCCCCTGCCATAAGAGTCGAGTCATTTGTGCCAGCATTTGCTTCTGAAATAAAATACCATTGTTACTTAGGGTTAGCTTACACCTAGTCACAACTGTCAGCATAGCATCACTTACTGATGTCCCTGTAGTTGCCATGTTGCCTACCAGAGTAGAGGAGGAGAGGGGAAAAATATGTCTGTCCTGACCACAAAGCCATGGTTTCTGCCTTGACAGCCAGTTGGCAGTGTGAAGGATCCATAACTTCACAAACAGATACATGAGGTGGCCATGTGGAGTACACTTCTATGGTGATATTATATACATTGAGTAATTCTAGTTAAATTCAACAACTGCAGTTTACACATTTTTTCATGGAGGTTTTTATATAGTGATACTACTACCAACAAAAATTATAAATTTTACTAAATAGCAAAATCTGAATATTCATTCCAGACTCTGAATAATAAAATTGGAAAACAAGCACACAAAAAATGTACCACTGTTACTGTGGTCATCCACTCTGGGAAGACTAGTGTGAGAAATTGGAATTAAATGCTATGTTAATGTCACTTGGGTTCAATTATCTTCTGCTCTGCCATACTAAGAAACTGCATGAGCAATTTAGCCAGTTGAATTCTGTTAGCTTTTGGAAGCATGCATGTTTTCTAGATCTTTTTTCCGTGTTATATTTTGACACCCACCCCCACCCTCTTCAAGGCAGTTTTCCAGCTGTTCCCCTAGGGAGTCATTTTATGGGAAGGTTTCTTTTGTAGGCTTCCAGCTGGCTTCATTTTCACTATCTCCATGAAGTTGCTGTTTTTGTCACATTTATATGATATTATCCATCATGCATTGCCTTGGGATTTTCCCTTTGAATTGTTGACTTCATGTTTCTGCGTTGCACATGCAGGCTGTCTCCTGGTTCGGACATCTATGTGACGGTCTCATCCATGGCTTTAGCAAGATCCCAGTGTCGGAACTCTCCTAGCAACCTGTCTTCATCCAGTGATACGGGCTCTGTGGGGGGCACCTACAGGCAGAAGTCCATGCCTGAAGGGTAGGTATGCCTTCGTCCCATTGTACATGGTCCCTGTTGACGTCAGTTCTTTCATCTGGACTCAGACATGTAAAATGACTTCCATTCAGCCAGCCTTAATCAATTTGCAGACAAACAAACGAGAAAATTTAGTTAATATTCCAGATAGAAAAATGCCTTCATGGCTGGTTTAAACTACTTCTTAGGAAGTTTATCTTCCTGTAGCCTCTACAAAGAACTCAATGGCAAAGAAATCAAATTGCATTCGTTTGTCCATTATATATATTGTTTAGTTTCACAGTTCAGATTTTGTCACTTTTATATCCTCCAAAGTGGAAAAGGCACCTGTACAAGTTTAGGATGGGAATGAGAGGTAGTTAAAAAGCAAAACTATTTAAAAGACATAGGACGTGTTCCGCCCTCCTTGGAGATTTATTTTCAGATCACACACTTTAAGGAATTCCAACGAGGCAGAGCAGGTCCAAAGAGGGGGCCCAGGTAAATGAGGAGCTTGGAGACCATGTGGGAGAAAGAACTGCGGATGTGCCAGCCAAGGATGAGAATTGTTGAGGTGAGGAGGCCACAAGCTTTCTTCCAGCACTCTTAGATGAGGGATCAAGCTTGTCTGTGAGAACAACTGAGGCCAGTAAATGAAAGTTATAGAGAAGAAGGTTCCAGCCCATTTTGAGGAAGATATTTCAGAGCTGTCAGCCTGCCCTGGAAAGAAGTGGATGGCCTCATAAGGTAGAGTCCTTGTTCACTGAATGTATTGCATGTATCAGCCAAATGATTACTTAAAACTCCTTCAAATCTGGCCGGGCACGGTGGCTCAAGCCTGTAATCCCAGCACTGTGGGAGGCCGAGGCGGGTGGATCACGAGGTCAAGAGATCGAGACCATCCTGGTCAACATGGTGAGAGCCCGTCTCTACTAAAAATACGAAAAATTAGCTGGGCATGGTGGTGCGTGCCTGTAATCCCAGCGACTCAGGAGGCTGGGGCAGGAGAATTGCCTGAACCCGGGAGGCAGAGGTTGCGGTGAGCCGAGATCGCACCATTGCACTCCAGCCTGGGTAACAAGAGCGAAACTCCGTCTCAAAAAAAAACAAAAAAACAAAACTCCTTCAAATCTAACTGTGACTCTTAAACTACTATGTGCTTCTCCAAACAAGGGAACAATTAAACTCTTCAAAAACAACACCAAGTAAAATTTAGAACAACTTTTGTCTGAGCTCCTCAGGACTGGGTATCCCTAATACTCTGGCATACAGTAAAATGAGGGTGGGGGGCACATATGAGAAATGAAATTGTAAGTTAATCAGATGAAAATGTTTTTCAAAGGAGCGTTTAAAGATAGTCTTACCTTATTGTTTACCTAAAACAAGAGGGCCAGAAAAATGTTCAGCTTTAATTAAGTTCAAATGTTTAAAAGGTTATCTTTAGTTTACACTGCTACCAAAAAATAAAAGCAAGCTGGGCACTGTGGTCCCAGATACTTGACAGCTAAGGCAGGAGAAGATTACTTGAGTCCGGGAGTGTCTCTTTCAAAAAAAAAAAGTAAAAGCGTGATTAGAATCCATCTCTAACTTTTATCTCCATGCCTTTTAAAGAGATCTTAATACAGATTTAGAATGGGATCATAAATAGGTATATTTATTCTTATGAGTGAAACAAGGACCCTTAGGGAGAAGATGGCAAAAAGTATAATTGTGAGTCCTTTTTTTAAATGAGCACTTTAATCAATTAGAAGCTTTCATAAATCAAGGTTTTTATTTTTGATAAGTGCTACATCAGTATGTGAGATAGCTTTGCTTAATGAGCCTTATGATGGTGTATCTACATGAACTGCGTTTGTGTAACAGTTAACGGGAGATGGTATAATTAGACTTTTATTAAGATAAATGTTTTTCTAGCCCCTTCTACTTTGCAGATGCTTTATGTATATTTTTCTCCTTGGATTCTTATAATGGAATTGCCATTTTACAGATAAAGAAATTGAGGCAAATATTCAGTGACTTTGTTCAGTCCTATTGGGTGGGGGTTGGAACTTGGCTCCAGGTCTTTTTTACTATTTATCTCCTGCCTTTCCAGTACCCCACTTGCTGGTTCTGCCCACACATGTATCAGCCTATAGCAAGGAAGACACCCTACAAGCATCAATTCATCCAGGCCCGTCTCAAGCGAGATCCAGGCCCACCTTAGCCTCCCGAGTAGCTGAGACTGCAGTGGCCACCACACCCGGCTAATTTTTTGTTTTTTATAGAGACTGGGGGCTCACACTGTTGCCCAGGCCAGTCTCTGTTCTTGTTCTCAAGTGATCCTCCTGCCTCTGCTTCCCAAAATGCTGGAATTACAGGTGTGAGCCACTGCTCCTAGCTCCTGTTTGGTCTTTTATTGTATAGGTTATGCATAAGTTCATTAGTAACCACATATAAATTAGTAAATGCCCAATGTCCGTATGAATGTTTAAGTTCTACACTCTGCCACTTTTTCGTGGGCTCAGTCAGTCTTTACTTTGTTGATATTGCTAGTCAAGGCATATGCTTTAATTAAGGATGTATTATTATTCTATGAAGGGAAAAATAAAACTGGCTCACTAAATAGCTAAATGTTCTTTCCAGAAATAAACATTTGCCTTTATTTTTGGCCAGTTTACCTGCTTCCAGATTGCCCTTCCCAAAGGCAATTTAAAATTTGTACAGTTTGAACATGGTTGCTGCATGATCTAAATGATGGTAATCTTTGTATTTCAGACCACAGAGCTAGTACTCAGAAAATACGTGTTCCAAGAGCTACTGACTTACTGATTTACTAAACTACCAAGTTAAGAGAAACAAACCTCCATAATGTACCATTTGGAAGCTACATATGGAATATTAATATTTAGGTTGTGAAATTTTTCTTTTGGCTGTGAATAGGTCTGAACTTGGCTGTAGGAGGGCTTAGGAAATTTTGGTTTCTTACACTACATATCTTAGGTTAGCTCAGTCCCAATGGCTTCTGCCCTTGTTGTTAGGAGTTTGTTTACATAGCGTACATACCTTTCTGAGCAGAGTGATGTATATTGACCACAACATCCACATTTCCACACCCACATAAACACGAACCAGGGTGTGTATACAAGTACAGACACGTAAGCAAAAACCAGTAGTGCGGGTCATTAAAATTTAGTTCCTTATACCCAGGCCTGCCTTCCCCTCATGGGTAAGGTCCCTGATGTTGTCTTTGCCTTTGCGGAAATCACCACAGGTTTGGAGTGAGCCGCAGATCCCCGGCCTCCATTGACAGGCAGAACACCCAATCAGATATCGGTGGCAGCGGAAAATCAATACCTAGCTGGCAAAGAAGTGAGGATAGCATTGCTGACCAGATGGGTAAGTAATCAATTTCTACAAGAAGCAAGTTGCTTTTACAAGGTGTCTTAGATCACCTTTTGATGACGTTATCAAAGCACTGTTATAACAGTAGTCCTAGTTAATAAATATGAATTAGAATGAAGTCTGTTAGATTATGTATAAGTGAAAGCAATAAATAAGACCTAAGAGAAAATGAATTCTAAGTAACCCCAAATTTAAAAGTGGAAAGGTGATAGGAATTATTTTGAGCACTTAGATTAGAAGAGTAGACTAACCAAACTAAGCACTGTCTTCCCCCTTGTTTATTTGTTTTTGACTAGAATAAGTGCCTTGAGAGATTCCTTGGTATACTTAATGTCAAGTTAAAAAACAAAACTATGAACAAAGTGGGGAAGAGATAAAATTACTGTTTAGTCACATCTGTAGCTTGCTTAGAATCTCTTTCCTCCCTGATGTGCTTTAAAAAAAATTCTTCTCTCTCTATTAAGCTGTCAGCTAAGGAAATGTCTTAGCGGTAAGAAACAGCTGGGTGGAAGAGATTTGCATTAGTGAGCTCGCGCCTGGATTTCTAGTGCATAGCCCTTTCTTTGTATATATGTGTTGTTTCATAGTGACACCATAACACTGGTTGATACAATAACATTTTGCCATGAAACAAGATTTTCAACACAGGAGCCTCAGGGATTTGGTACCAACACAGTTGATGCATCATTAACTTGAATCTAGATTGTTAGGTTGTTGGGTTTTTTCCCTCCTTTATTTAATCTCTAGTTGCATCAATTTAGGACAAAAAGGTGTACATTTCAGGGCTTTATAAGGCAAGACCCATCTGTTAATCTTCTCTGCAGATTTATTGTTTTGTCCTGTTTTAATGACTGTGCCCAAGTGAATGTACTAACCATGGACATAGAAAGGAGTGGAGACGTGTCCCACTAAGACAGGAGTTGAGGAAGAGAAATGGAATTCCTAGGTTCTGAAGATATGCTTTGTTCCAGTAGCTTCAGTGAGATGTGCCTTGTTATTGAAGCCATCTGTCATTCTCCACTCTTATCCCACCCACCCCCACACAGAAAACCTGAGCATATTCTGATCTGCTTTTCTACTCTTGACAGAATGCTTTAAATCCCATATGTTTTGACACTGTTGAGATGGTAACGACACATGTGAAAAGGATCCCTTCTTCAGCATGACTTTAGCGGCTTTTTTTGGCTCCTAGTGCAGGCTTTGAACAAGGCTGCCAGCAAGCCCTTTGTGAAGCGTGCAGTGTCATGCCTCTTACTCTCAGGGAGTCACACAGAGTGAGAAGGGATGCAAAGGGTAATTACAAGGTTCTTCCTAGACCCCTGTTCATTCTTTACACAGACCACTCTCTAGTCTTTTTTTCCCTGCATCTACTTTACTTTAGTGACATCCCACTCTTAATAGGTAAGACTTAAAAATGAATGTAGATGAATTTTTAAAACATAGTTGTTCATCTTTTTTGTAAGGTATACCTTTTTAAAAAATAAGATACCCCTGAAGCCTGCCAGAGAAGTCTTTTCACCACTGTACAAGAGGTCCAAGTGGTGGCCTTTCACCATTGAAAATCCAACCCTTCAAATAAAATATTAAAATAATTTTTGATATCCCAGCATTCCAGGAAAATAACCCAGCCTTTCCTAATTGGCACATCAGAAGGAATCAGAAGGCTTAGCTGGTAGAAGCCATTCCAGGGAGAAGTCAAGAAAAATATTTGTTGCATTTTTTATTACCCAGTACCCGATATTCAGTATATAATGGGCTGACCTTTCTCTACTCAGTTTATAAGAATAGCATTCTCTAATGACTTGCACTGATTGAGAATGTTTATGAGGTTTTTATTGGTTAGGTATCAGTGTATTATCAACAAGTACCCTCCAGGCAGTGGAGACAGGAGTGTAACTTACTGAATTGGCTCACTTATCTTTATGGATGTTTGCTTTTCTGCCTCTGCTTTTGGAAATGGTTGAGAGTCAAGGATTATTTTGCCCTGTCCTCTACATGTTAGGAAGGGTGTTGCAAAGGCCCAGGATTCTTGCTATTAGCTATAGTAGTGTTATGGAGGATAAATTCCTTATCTCTCACTTTTGGAACCCATCTTGAACGCCAGCTTGGAGTCCAAAAGGAAGCAATTGTTTTAAGTAAACTAGTTGCTGTGTGTCTTTTCTGTTGTGCTCAGCTTACAGTTATAGAGGACCTCAGGATTTCAATTCTTTTGTCCTCGAGCAGCATGAATATACAGGTAAAATATTTCCAAAGTGTCATGGTAAGTAACACGTGATTGCATCCATGCCTGTCTAGGTAATGTAGACCAAGCTAGGTTAGCCACACTTGGCAACGAATGAATTTCATAAATTTAATTCATATAATCTGAATTTTCCCCCAAACCAAAAGCTCATTCAGAACTTTGCTGCATTGTTCGTGGCCTTTGGTTTGGTGGTACTTGGCAATGCTAATGTGTATGATGTGACAAGTTGTCACCAGCTGCAAGCTTTATCCATCAGCCACTTAAATTTCTGACCTGCTGTCTATCATATAGACTCTTAACAAGCTTACTGCTGAAATGCAGAGTTCACTGGTCAGTGAACTGAAAGATGCAATGGCAAGCCATCTTCATTTGTCACCATGTGCTTGTTTCTGCTTGGTGCCTGCACCATAATGTCCTATGCTGTATTCCAGAGCCAACATGCCATCTCCCAGCAGTATCAAAGGTACTGCCAGCTTTCCGAGAGAGCCCCAGTGGGAGATTAATGCGGCAGGATCCAGTGGTTCATTTGTCTCCAAACAAACAAGGGCATGTAAGTTAACTGTAAACTTAAAAAATATTAGATTCCTAGCAATGTACCTTCCTTGCACTGAAATGCTCTGCTCTTTCCTCTGCATGGCCAAAGAGGAAATCATTCGGGCAAAGGGTGGTCGTTTGATGCCATGGCCTTGCGGTTTCTGCTGCTACCATGGCCTCTAGATTGCTTGGAGATAAATTATGACTCCTTATTGCTGTGCTTCTGCCACCCCCACAGGTCTGGTCATCTGATTCAGTCACTAACAATCGTGAAATGTTAAGAATGAAACTGGGTTAGAAGTTGATTTTATTTGCTTACACAGTTGCAAGCATGAGATATGGTTGGATTGTCAGTCCTGCTCCAACCGTGAGAGGACTCCAGCAGGACTGATGCTCTAACCATATCTTTGATACTGCTACAGTAGAGGAGGTATAAGAGGCAGGCAGACAGCTTCCCCTATGCCTCCTCTACTGCTTATCTTTCATAGCCATACACATTTCATCCTTTTGCTATAGTAATACACAATTCCTTTTCACTTACAGGTAAAATTGGGAATAAGAGGTTATCATTCTCCAACCCCTCTCTTACTCTTTTTTTCTCACTTTTTTCACCTGATGCCTCTGTTGGGACAGGACACCCTCCCCATGCTGTTGATTTCCTTGGTGTGTCTGTTCACTGGAATGTGTATGTTTATACTCACTTCATTCTATGGAATGAGGAAATACTCTATTTCATACTTACTAATTCAGTATGGAGGATGCCCAGAGAACTTTTAATGAGAGATACATGTAAGTTTTATGGTAGAAAAATGAATATTAAGGCCGGGCGCGGTGGCTCAAGCCTGTAATCCCAGCACTGTGGGAGGCCGAGGCGGGTGGATCACGAGGTCAAGAGATCGAGACCATCCTGGTCAACATGGTGAAACCCCGTCTCCACTAAAAATACAAAAAATTAGCTGGGCATGGTGGCGCGTGCCTGTAATCCCAGCTACTCAGGATGCTGAGGCAGGAGAATTGCCTGAACCCAGGAGGCGGAGGCTGCAGTGAGCCGAGATCGCGCCATTGCACTCCAGCCTGGGTAACATGAGTGAAACTCCGTCTCAAAAAAAAAAAAAAAAAAAAGAAAAATGAATATTAAAGCTAAAAAAAACAACAGAGATGGTAAGCATGCTGTGCACTTTGTTCTGAAGAGAAAGATTCACCAGGGAAGATCTTCCTATGAGGAAAATATTTACTGAGGCAAGTAGTGACAGTGTAATATTGTCACTCTTCTACTTATAAATGATAGATTATCCCAATCAATTTGTAAATTTCCCCTTTCTCATTAATAATTTTTATAATGATTACATGGTAAAATAATATTTTGGACAGGTTGGGCTAGAGAAAATATACTATTAAAATTAATTTCCCCAGTTTCTTTTCTACTTTTTAAAATTTGGCTACTAGGAAATTTAAAATTACATATATGGTTCGCATTGTTTCTGTAGAAATGGATTATGTACTTTACACTCTTGGTACATCTCAGTTCAAACCAGCCACGTTAAAAGTACTCAGTAGCCACATGTGACTAAGGGTCACAAGATTCCACAGCACAGGTCTGGAGCTAAAGAAGTTCTGCCCTATTAAGAATAAATGAAGGCTTAATGTAAGTTGTTATTGAGAAAAACTTGAGTAACACCAACAGAATAACTGGGATTGATTTCTTTTTTCAAGGGGAAGAGATGTTTCACTTTGAGATGAAACTGGCGGCTGGGTGCAGTGGCTCACACCTATAATTCTAGCACATTGGGAGGCCGAGGTGGGTGGATCGCTTGAGGTCAAGAGTTCAAGACCAGCCTGGCCAACATGATGAAACTCTGTCTCTACTAAAAATGCAAGAAATTAGCCAGGTGTGGTGGCACCTGCCTGTAATCCCAGCTACTTGGGAGGCTGAGGCAGGAGAATTGCTTGAACCCGTAAAACAGAGGTTGCAGTGAGATCATGCCACTGCATTCCAGCCTGGCCAACAGAGCAAGACTCCATCAAAAAAAAAAAAAAGAAAGAAAGAAACTGGCATCCTGCCCCTCCCTTTAGCCAATGAAGAGCCTCCTCCTTTCTCCACCAAAAGACACAGACACACACATACACAGAGTTCCTTCTCTCCTCTTTTCTTAATCTCCAGCAAGCACCTGGACTTCCTGCCTCCCTGTAATTTAAAATATTATTTTATTCAGACATCTTTTAAATTCTTATTTCTTTGGAAAATGCTATGAAATATTCTAAGCATCTAAGCCAGCATATAGAAAGAGTTCTATATACTGTTTAAATTGAGATATAATTCACATACCATAGTAGTTATTCATTTGAAGTATACAATTGAGTGGTTTTTAGCAGCGTATTCACAGAGTTGTGCAGCCAGCACCACCTGATTCCTGAGCATTTTCATCACCACCACCAACTGCTTGTCATCCCCTCTACGACCTAGACAGTCACCTGTTTCTCTTTCTGGATTTGCCTACTCTGGACATTTCATATAAATGAAATTATACAATATGTGGCCTTTTGAGCCTGATTCTTTCACTGATTATAATGTTCCCGAGATTCATCCATGTTGTAACATGAATCAGTATTTTACTCATTTTCATGGCTGAATAATATTCCATTGTATGGATATACCCTATTTTTTAATCCATGTATTGGTTTGTGGGCATTCATATGTTTTATTTGTTTTACTTTTTGACCGTTCTAAATATTTGGCTGTAAACATTCATGTACAGGTTTTTATGTGAGCGCATTTTCATTTCTCTCGGATAAATACCAACAGTAGAATTGAAACTGTTTTCCCACAGTGACCACCCCATTTTACTTTCCCAACAATGCCAACATTCATTATTATCTGCCTTTTTGATTATAGCCAAAGGTATCTCATTGTGGTTTTGATTCGCATTTCCCTAATAACTAATGGTATTGAGTATTTTTTGATGTGCTTGTTGGACTTTTTTTTTTTTTTATAGATGTCTTCAGATCTTTTGCTCATTGTTTAATTGGGTTATTTGAAGCATAAGAGTTTTAAATTTTTTGAAGTTCATTTTATTTTTTCCATTTGTTTCATGTGCTTTTGTTGTCATATCTAAGAAACTTTTATAACCAGAGGTCCTGAAGACTTAAACATATGTTTTCTTCTAAGAGTTTTATAGCTTTGGCTCTTACATTTAGATCTGTGATCATTTGTGAGTTTCTTTTTCTATGTGGTAAGGATCTAACTTTATTCTTTTTTTTTTTTTATTTTAAGACAAGGTCTTGCTCTGTCTCTGTCACCCAGGCTGGAGTGCAGTGCAGTGGCATGATCTCGGCTCACTATAGCCTCAACCTCCCGGGCTCAAGCAATCCTCCCATCTCAGCCTCCCATATAACTGGGACTATAGGCGGGCGCCACTACGCCTGGCTACTTTTTGTATTTTTTGTAGAAATGGGGTTTTGCTGTTACCCAAGCTGGTCTTGAACTCCTGAGCTGAAGCAATCTACCTGCCTTGGCCTCCCAAAGTGCTGGGACTATAGGCATGAGCCAGTGTTCCAACTTTATTCTTTTTTGCATGTGAATATTCAGTTGTCTCACTATCATTTCATAATAAAACTAATTTTTTCCCATTGAATTATCTTGTATAAATTTTACCTCAAAGCATGTCTTAAAAGGCTGTCTTCTAAACACAGGCTAATTGGGGAAACAGATCTCTCTAGAAATAAGTCTTATATTCAGCCTTCTATTTACTCTGAACAAATAAGTCTTTTAGAATTAGCATGCATTCTAGTTATAAACCCTTTGGAAATATCATTTCCTTTCTAGGTTATTAAAACTTTAATAACAATTTAGATTTCTTCCTGACTCAAATAACTCAATAGTATTGATACTTTAGCATAAGTCAAATAATGAAAAATAGATTGAAAAACAAAAAGCACATTTCCAGGACTCTTTGCCATGGACACTGCTAAATGGACCGGAATCACATAGGTTCCCTGTCTTACTTTGACTTGTCATTATTGGAACTTTTAGGCCTTCAGAGCCTCAAACTAGAAACTAATCACAATGTCATTTCTGTTATCTTGTTGTTCAGGAGGAAAAACTTTACACTTAAATAAATCCTGCTTTCTTTGCAGTCTGATAGCCACTACTCGAGCCACTCCAGTAGCAATACTCTCTCCAGCAATGCGTCGAGTGCCCATAGTGATGAGAAGTGGTACGATGGGGACCGCACGGAATCCGAACTCAACAGCTATAACTATCTGCAAGGCACCTCTGCTGACAGTGGCATTGACACCACCTCTTATGGCCCCAGCCACGGCAGCACAGCCTCCCTGGGGGCTGCCACATCGTCACCTCGCTCAGGGCCAGGCAAGGAGAAAGTGCCACCCCTGTGGCACAGCTCCAGTGAAGTAATCTCCATGGCAGATCGGACTTTGGAGACAGAGAGCCATGGCCTGGACCGGAAAACAGAGTCTTCCCTGAGCTTAGACATACACAGCAAGAGCCAAGCTGGCTCGAGCCCTCTGACAAGGGAGAACAGCACCTTCAGTATAAATGATGCTGCTTCCCACACAAGGTAACCGCCCTCCCCACTGTCTCTCTGATGCTCAGCCGAGACCTAAGCCCAGTTTCCTAGCCTTATCCCACTTTACTTTGCTCAGTAGTATATAAGGAAAGGAGGCTTTTCTGCAGTGACAGTTATTTTTATGTTTAATGCCTTTTATTTGCCTTCAAAATACTTTAATCCTGCCATTTTAGTGCATTATTTTAAACCGATAAAATTTTGCAGATTTATTCTTTTTAAAGTTGGATTTGATTTTTTTTTTAATTTTCCTGGCTACCACAATTTGAGAGGAAATTTGTAATTTTATAATGTTGGCTTTTGGTGACTGATGGAGAATATATACTGGGACAAGCTTTGAAGACTATGTTTTTAAAATATTGACCATAGTTTTAAAAGAAAGGGGTCTTTTCTGAGTAACAGAGTATTGTTTCCATACAAAAGCATGTCCTTTACATACCTTTCTATTTTAGAACCTCACTTACCTGATATTTGCATGGTAACTTTTTTTTAGTAATTGGCTCCTGACAGCATGTGTTGAGAGTGGGGGATGTCCAACAGAAACATGTAGCTAAAACTAGACACATGTTTCAAAATAGGAAAGTACACATTCCTTTGTATCCTTGGAGATCACATCTCTAGATAAAATAAATACCATTTGTCATTCTCTTGATTCGAGCCTAAAATCCCAAATGTGACAAGATTCTTCCATATGAAAAGGAAGCATTCCATCACTGTCTTTTTAGGCCTGTTAATCTCTGTGTGGTTTCTCCTTTTACCTTTGATTGCTGTCAGTCATTGATCAATGTGTGAGAGCATCTAACCTTGCTGTCTTCTGGGTCTGTTATGATTTTGACCTCAAGAAAAATAGTAGAGGCTGGGCGTGGTGGCTCATGCCTGTAATCCCAACACTTTGGGAGGCTGAGGCAGGCAGATCACTTGAGATCAGGAGTTCAAGACCAGCTTAGCCAACATGGTGAAACCCCATCTCTACTAAAAGTATAGAAATTAGCCGGACATGACATCCGTAATCCCAGCTACTCGGGAGGCTGAGGCAGAAGAATCGCTTGAACCCAAGAGGCAGAGGTTGCAGTGAGCCAAGATCACACCACTGCACTCTAGCCTGGGTGACAGAGTGAAACTCTGTCTAAAAAAACGAAAAATAATAGAGAGGCTTAATTTAGTTTTTATTTTTCAATTGGAAATCCAGGCACATAATCTGTCAGTATGCCCCTGTAACCTTAAGGAGAGAGGACATCCTCTACTTAATTTAGGTTCCTTTCACTTGCCCAGCTAAGTATTCCATTTTCTCATGGACTCACTGTTGTTACTGATGATTGAGCTTCCCTTCATTTAAAGTTTTAGGCCCTATGGTATGAAGCCTTCCACGAGTTTTGTTTCTGTTTACTGCTACCACATTGCAGATTTCAAAATGATGGTGATAGGTCTGGAAACTCCATGGCCCCCAAGCAAAATGAAATTGGGAAAGTAGTCTTCGTATTTTTGAGTACTATATATTCCGTTCCACAATTCAGAAAGTAGATTGTTTGATGCAAATGCTATAAGAAATGTGTTTGGCAAAGTAGAACAGGAAGTGGGCTTCAGATGCCATAACCATATAGACAGAATCACATAGGACAGAATGATGACACTTGCTGGCTGTTCTTGGCACATCTCAGTAGATTGTGCATTGACTTAGAACATTTTTGCAGATCTGAACAGTTTCTGTCTGATTTTTAAGTTTAGTTTGACTCCTGTTTCTTTGGTTTTCAATTCTCCATTTTAAAAGTAAGACACCTTTTTTTAAGAATGGTCTTCCATCTGAAGATGTATCTCTGGTCTAATGTGATAGCAGAAGAAAGTTGATAATAGAGATCTTATCTCAAATGGCATCACCATGGAGTGAGGTTGGACACAGCTGGGCCCCTGAAAGCAAAGCACAGAATGTGCAGCCATGCCATTATCTAACAAATCCCAGGGGATCAACAAAACTGCCTGGAAAAAAGCACCTGGGTTTATATATCTGAATGTGCTGACTGGAGCTGCCTGAAGGCTTCAAAGGATTATCTACATTTTCTGCTTCTAACTGGAAGAATGCAGAATCATTGAAATCACCCTTTAGAAATAACTCTCCTATTGAAAGTCAAACTTAATAGAGAAGAGAAGAATGTGGCCTTTCAGGGAGGGTGGCAGAGCTTCTCACCCACTCAGTTGTTGAGTCACATTCATTTCTAAGCTCTGGTAAGTAGGGATGTTTTGAGACTTTGGTATGTTGATCTTGGCAGAGTGAGTTGGACAATCAAAGCTTTAGCAGCCTGCCTTTTCTGGAGGAAAGGGGACTTAGCCACCAAATGCACATTGCTATAGAAAAACTAAAATCACGGCAACAGCAATTAATGTAGAGATGTCTTGATAGTGCTTAAAAGAGCTTGTACCTGGGACTCAGCGACAAAATCCAAATTACAGTGATTAAGTTTCACTGCATCTTTCTGGCTGGGCTCCATTCCTACCTCCTCTGTCCTCTAGTCTCCCTCTTGATGATCATGTAGATTTCTTGTAGCTCCTCATGAGGGCTACATTAATACAGGTTGGTAATTACATAGAGTTGTTATTTTTGAATGTCATTAAAAGAAGCCATACACACTGATAACTTTCTATAATAAAAAGTCTATTAATTGCTCTAAATTATTGGTCCCTAGAATATATGTGTATCTTTAGGAAGCTTGGAAATTTAGGGAGAAAATTTATTTTATTTTATTTTTTGGTAATGGCTGTTTAACTTTCAGATCTTAAAATGAACCACTAAAAAAAATGATTAGTGGTAAACATAGGTGAGGTGAAGATAGTAGTAATTTAAAGACATTCTTGCCAGCAGCATTCATTTTCTTCTTAGGGTTCTGGCCTTGGCAGGAGACAGTGCCAGTTTGCGTGGCAACCAAGGACCTCCTCAGTTAGTATAAAATGCTCCAGTCCTACTGACCAATGCTATTTCTGATGTTGGAGCTTAATTTTAAGGCCACACACGAGAAAGCTAAAAAACCCACCTCATGCTTGCACATATACATCTCTTCTGTAACTGACTGACCTGACTTGTTTTGGTGTCCACGCTTGTTAGCCAGTCATTGTCCCAGTCTCAAAACTGGCTTCCTGTTGCTTCCCTAAGGCCCTCTCAGACACCTATAGCCAATTAGTACCCACTTGTGTGATCACATATACCTTTTTACTGCCATCCAGTACAAGAGGATTTTTTACCCAATACTTTCATCCTATTTGCATAGGCTGTACCAGCATGAACATAATAGGCTGATACTCAATACATGCCAGTGAGCAAATAGGAATAACTAGCTGAGTACGATGACATGCACCTATAGTCTCAGCTGCTCAGGAGGCTGACGCAGAGAGGTCATTTGTGCCCAGGAGTTAGAGGTCAACCTGGGCAACATAGTGAGACGCTGTCTCAAAAAAAAGAGAAAGAATAACTTTTCCTTTACGTTTTTTGCCTGATGACTCAGTAAACCAGTTCAAAAGTCACATAAATCCTCAACTCCTGGCTCTTAGAAAACCACTATTTTGAAGGTTATTGTACAGATGCATCAGTATGTGCACAGAGCTACAGTGCTTATTGTTGTAGGTATGAGAGGGTACATAGAGTCCTTGTGTAGCATGAAGTCTTAGTAAAGTCGTGTCTACATAAAAGTTTTTAAACTCTGCAAAATATGGCGAGGAACTTTAGAACAGCTTACATGCAAATATCAGTCAGGATCTAGATATATGTTGGTCAGTGTCTGACATTATCACTAGAGGAGCTGGTTAAAGACCAAGAAAAACGCCTGCCCACAGTTGTCAATACAGTTGTCATGAATGTGCTTTTGCTGGTTGACCTAGTGAGTTAAATGTTCATGCCACAAAAGCTATATGTTTCTTGAGAGTTGAGGAAAAGAAAGACTTCTTACGTGTGGTTTACATTGAGCGTTAGGACTACCTCAGGCTACTCTGGCACACTAGGCTGTCTGTGTGCCTCTGTGTATGCCCTGATATGTGTAAATTTTGTTCTCGGCACCCTCATTGGCATCCTATGTACATGAAAAATATGCCTTCATCTTTGTTTAAAAGTTACTCCGTTGTCTTTATCTGTAACATTTCCTTCTCTAAATCTCTTCTGCCTGGATTTTTTTTTTTAAGTTACTAACAGATGAGAAGGTTATTTTTCTAAATATTACGGACTAATTCAGAATTTGAAATTTCAACCTGTAAAATAACAAAGCCAGAACTTCTCTTAAGATAGGTGGTTGGCTCTATTTGCCTTAGCCAAGATAGTGGGTATGGATGATTTTAATTGACAGTATTTGCTTTGTGTCAATGTACACAAGGAGCATTGATGATTATGTTTTATCTTGCTGTTTCACGGCAGAACTGGTGAACTGGCCTAAACAATCTTGCCACACCTCTTCCAGCTTTTGGGGGTAGGTGATTATTTTATCCAGCATCAGTTACTTTTAGTAACCTCAAAAACTGAAAAATAGAACCACTGTGGGAGAAATTTCAAGTGAACCTTGAGAACATGAGCCCTATGTCAGGCCACAAATGCCTGATGCAGATCTCACCAGCAAAACACTTTTTTGCTTTGTTCTATGAAGCAACTAATCCATTCATTCAGTTGATACGGTAAGCGAAAATTCTCCAAATGTCATTAAATCATAAGACAAAAGAAATTCAGAAAGAGCAGAGAGTCCATTATTTGTCATATGTAAAGCATTCTACCAGGATTGTATTGTTAATAGAATTGCTTTTTTAGGAACAAAAAAAGGAAAAAAAAAAATCTCAAGAGATTCCACAACATTTTTTTTCTCTCTTTCTCTCTCTCTCTTTTTTTTTTTTTCTTTCATTTTTTGAGACAGGGTCTCACTCTGACACTCAGGCTAGAGTGCAGTGGTAGGACCACAGCTAACTGTAGCCTTGACCTTCTGAGCTCAAGTGATCCTCCTACCTCAGCCTTTCGAGGAGCTGGGACTACA